TTTTATTATTATAGTTTGTTATTGTTATCTTCAGAAGAGTTCTAACTCTCTTTGACCTGCTCAGATCTCCTGGGTTGGTGGATATACAAAGATATCAGATCTCACTCCTTATCAGCCTTATTCCCTTCCTTTCAAGAATTAGCAGGTCAAATATTGTCATCCATCTGAAAATACGGAATAAGAAAACAGACATCATTTTAAAAGACTCTCCTAGACCTTACCTACTATAATCCCAGGGACAGTCAAAATCCTTTAGTTTCCTTCTGTGGAATGAGTGTGCTAAGAAAATAGAAGCAAATAGTAGTGATCCTTTACTGGACCTACAGTTATTATGCACCTAAAATTACAAAAAAATAAAAATTCTTTTAGCTATGCTCCTTCTCCAAAGACAGTAAACATCCAGAGGCAAACAGACATTACTGAAAGTCACAATAATATGATATTATGCCCATCTCTAACTCAAGGTTGCCTGAATAGAAAGAAACATTGTGATTTCTAATAACCTTTACCTAAGCACAGAAAAACCTGCCACTCAAGCATATAGCCTATTTCAAGGTTAAACTAATTTCAAAAAGCCATACAGAACTAACTCATAAATTGTCTAGATAAATGAAACAATCTCTTCCCCAGTTCTCTGGTGAAGAACGGGAGTAGGACACAGGAAACCCCCCAGAAATGGCTGTATCTCTGTCTTCCTTCTCAGTAAAAGGATGAAAACTTTTCTGGCCAGGCTAAAACTTGAGACTGAAAGTAGGACTCATATCCAGGTATGGGAGGGAGGATTAGACTAAGGGGCATTTTTCTTCCTCTCCCCTTTGCAATCCACAGTTAGTGCTGTTGCAAACAACCTGAAATATTAGTAAACATTTCCTCCAACAACTAATGAAATGCTTCCAGAAACATGCACATCAGTAGCCCTCTTCCGGACTGGTTAAGTGTGGGTTTGCTTCAGTGGTGTGTGTGTGAGAGTGTGTGGGTGAAAGCGAGTGTGTGTATGTTTGATCCTCATGCTTGCAAAACGTGCTTTCAAAAGCAGCCATGATTTCTTTTTTTTTGGGGGGGGGGGTGATCCCTTTGTCTCCCCCAGACCTCAGCCCAGAGGACCAGAGGACCAGAGGAGGGTCAGTGAGGGGCGTGGGAAAGGCTGGACTCACACTTACCTTTGAGCAGTCGACAGGTGAGAGTGGCTTTTGGCGCTTTGTTTTGTTTTGTTTTCTGTGTCTCTGGACGCGCCCCAGCGCCGGGGGCGTGGGAGGGTCGAGGTGGGTCAGGGCGGGGCCGCGGCCGCCGGGTGGAGGAAACCCGGAGCAGGGTCGCCGCGCCTGCCGCGTCTGGCCAGCAGGGGGCTCCTTCGCTCTGCCTAAAACCGCGCTTCTGCCGGCTTGGCGGGCTCAGCCCGCGGGGCCCGCGACCTGGGGAGGGCGGTGAATCTGGAGAGGGGAGGAAGGCGAGGGCTCGAGAGAGACCAACAGGGGTGAGCCACACAGTGGGTTTCTCCGAAAGCTCGCGGAGCCTTCCTGGAGCTGCTTAGTACTTGACAAATCCTGGAGGAGTCGAGCGTTTTCAGGAACGGGGTCCGAGCCACCGCCTTGCTCTGGCTCCCGAGTCCCGCGGCGCGGCTCCGGCTTCGGCCCAGGTCGCCTGTGGCCCCGGGCAGCCTTCCTCGCGAGGGTGTTAGGGGGTGAGCCGAGGTCGCCGATGGACCCGAGAGAGAGTGCGGCGGGGGATGCGAGGAGGGCGGCGACTCTCCTCACCCTCGCTTTCGCCCTCGCCCCCGCGCCGACCGCACCTAGCGTTTTGGGGGTTGCAAAGCGCAGGCCGTCTTGGCCCAGAGAGGCAACGGTTTCTCTACCGCGGTCCTGAACCACACCTTCGGTCTGAGGTCCAGGGTGGAGGTTGAGTTTTCGCTCCCTTGCTCTCCCTCGGGAGGCCCGGTCCGAGCCAGCGCGGGCGAGAGGCAGATGCTGAAACTAGATTCGAGGTGGCTAAAGGGAGCCCTGGCTCCGCTTCTGGGGCATCCGAGGAAAGTGAGCCGGGCCGGGGCCCCGGGCCGCTGCCCTTTCTCCGTGATGGCGCACCGGGCCTGGAGACTTGCGCGCTTCCCCTCACCAAACGAGAGTTTAGCCCCGAGGCCCGCCCGCGAGAACTGGCCTCCGGCGGGCTTCGGGACCCTCTCTCAAAATAACGCGAGCGCTGGGACCTGCCTTTAGCTGGCCTCGGTCTGGATCAGGAAGATACTCTATCTTTGCAAGGGGTCTGTCTCTCAGATCTAAGTTGTTTTGATCTGCAGTAGTGGTGATGGCCTTCAATTTGTATAAAGTTACTGTCTCTCCCCAAATCCCCCCACACCCACACACCACACTCCACCACCGCCCCCACCACTCCCATTCTATTTGCATCTGAAAACCTCTGGAAACAGACGCTTTCAGGATGAACCTGCACCCTCAAACACACACACACACACACACACACACACACACACACACACAAGCAAGCGCGTGCCCGCCGAATGGAAACTGAGTTGAGTCATAGGATGCATATGAATAAGATTGCCTGGTCTTTCGCTTCTGAGGACAAAAATGTCTAATAACCCAGATTCCAGCAATAAGAGAACATTACAAGGTACCTCGAAGCCTGTTCGGATCCTTCAGAAGCAATCAGAACAATTGTGGTGATAGTAAGAGGAAGAGAATTGTATTTTTCAGGGCACTTGCGGGCAATCTGCTGTTTAGTATATGGAGAGAACTAAAAACTAAAAATAAATTTAAAAAATTTGCCCTTGATTCAGACCTACAGGTCAAATAACACCATCTCTCTTTTCTGGACGCTAATTAAAAGCAATTCTGTCAATAAGCATTTGATAGATATTTGAATCAAAAGAGATGAAATTTTCTGGCTCAATAGCAATGTTCTTCTATATGTATAATCATATGTAATCATATCATATATATATAATATATAATTTTGAAAGGGAGGTGAACTTTATTTCCTTTAAAAATGTACACTCGAAGACACTAGAAATGTCAGCTGCAGGCAACCAGTCGCTACTCTAGCTACAACAAGTTGTGCAATTAATAGTCCAGCAGCCTAGTCCAAAGCTTCTCTTTGCTTGGATCAAGAGTGTTAATGAACTGTAGAGGCAACGATCTTAGTTTGTGGATGTAGTGTCCTTTTGAAATTTAACAAGTTTTAAAAATGTAATAAAACAAAGATAGGCAATCAGGTTTTCGGTTTTTTGATTGGTTGCTCTGTTTTGTTTTTAGATTTGTTTACAATATGGTACAGTCGTCCCTAGTTCCTATCCCTTGTTTCTATTCTGGAGGATCTGCAAAAAGCACCAATAGTTAAGGTAAAAAAAAAAAAAAAATCTTTCAAGAAAGCCCTGCACTATTGTTTATTTAAGTCTTTTGTGAACATTTCAGGTAGCTCTAAGATACCAGAAGGCATTTTATGTTTCTAACTACTTCAACACAATGTAGAAAAAATACTTCTAACATTTGAATGGGTAAGATTCTTATTTGATTGCTTATTTGGCATTAGAATCGATGCTCTTTTGCATAATGATATCCCATTGTTCAATGAGATCTGTATTTAAATAACAGGTAAATAACATGGCAGAGTTTTTCACAACTCAGTGTGAGTAGCCTTATCGTGACTTATGAAATACTAAAGAATCTTCCCACAAACATGAAATCATTCCCATGAACATGCTCCACTTTCTAATACTGTGGAAAAGTTGATGTAATTGAATTTCTATTCTGTCAACAATAAATTTATTTCATCTTGGCAAGGTGCCTTGTTTGAAAAGGTTGATTGTAGAAAAGGATGGGACATCAGGAGCATGGAGGTTTAAATAGTGTTTCATTTTATAATCCAGAAAACAGTGTAATTGTCCCCTATCATATCAGCAGTAGGAAGAATCCGAATGAGTTTGATTTGAATGCACATCATTGGGTCTACAAAGAGCCCACTGACATCAAGTAGTAAATTGTCCCAGATAATTTATTATTGAGAAATCATAATTCCAATTCTGTTACATTCATTTTTGAATTGTACCGGATCTTGTGCAAAAAGAAAAAGAGAAGATGAAGAAACTGTGCTAAGCGCATCAAAGTACTTCCTATGTGACAATAAAGTGGATGATGGTCTGTTCCACTCAGCAAAATTCTCAGAAGGAAAACTTTAATCACTTATCTTTAAATCCCATTCTTTTGTGATTTTACTGGATGTCTCTAAATAAATAGTTTATAATGTAAACAAAGTTAGAAAGTTGACTCAAATATTGGGAGAGAATAAATAACATGACTACCATCGATTTCCCGAAGACTTGGCCAAATTCTGCCTGCACTTTCAGCCTAACCTGCAGGGGGCAATAGCTTGACACGAATGACAACAAAGGCTGCTGAGCTATTAGTCTTGGATTTCTGACTATGACCCTGGAATGTTGTATAGGTTGGAAAGAGTGCTTAATTAATGTATAATGAAACAAAAGATCAGGTAAATTGTTTGATTTGTCTTCAAGCTATATTTTTAAACTAATCTAATTCATAACTGTTAGGTTTTTTTTTTCTTAAAGAGATTATCAAAGTTTCAGTAGACATATTCAGCTATCTCAAGAATTATCCTAAACACTAACTGTTTACTATGAAATATGTAATTTATGTTCTCAAAAAAAGGGAGCAAAAGGAGCAAAAAATGAATACAGTTTTCCATGTTAAGATAGGTGACAAAATTAGAGGAAATGTAGACTATTTAGATATTTATAATGAAAGAATGTCACATATCTAGATAATAAGCTCTCTATTCCTTTTTTAATCTTAAAATTACAAAGGGATGGGGAACATTACACTATTGTTTGAAATATATTTTCTTTCCCCTTATAAAACATTAACTTTGAAAACCAGTTTATATTTAAATATCATGATGGATAATTAGTAAGTGATCTCTTTTATTATCATAATTTTTATTACAGATAGAATTGAATTTATTGGCTATTGATAATCTACAATCTCCCTCCCCTGTCCCATATCACCACTCCTTCCCCAATCCCTCCACCTCCCCCATCAGCTGATCAGGAGACTGGAAACAGACCAAAAGGGGGTTTGGCTGGAGGGAATAATTGTAGAATTGAAAAAGAAAACTCTCCCCATCTCCTCCCTGCAATCACACTTAACATTCATTATGTCAATTTTCAATAATGCAAAATGTCTTGCCCAAGAGGCATCCTGATTTCAAGAAGTCAAAAGGGTACCTGGCATTAAACAACCTCGAGTCAATCCTGGTGGGATTAACTGGGCTGAGTTTCTATAAACTGCACATGCTATGGATCTACTTTGATCACAGTAAGGAAAAAAATGATAATAGATTTTTTTTTAAGAATTGCTGCACAGGAATGTTCCGTTTCTTTTATATAGCAGAGTTTAATCTTGATAAAAACCTTTTAAACCATCCTTTTCCCTCCACTATGGTAAAGATATGGTATCTATTCTTTGCTTTTCTTTAAGGAAGGAAAATAGGAGTTGCTTATACCGAGAAAGAAAATTTTATTCTCCAACCCCCCCCCCCCATTCTACTAAACCGTTTTAGTCGACATATGTTTGTTATCAGAGAGAGGTGCTGTGAACACACAGCCATTTTCTTAGCAGCTTTTTGACTGTATGTTACCATAGTCCCACAAGGCATTGGTCCTTTCCCATTGGGAAGTCATGAATAAGAGACTATGAAGCTTGCACGTCAGATCTTCCTCAATTAATCCACCATTAGCATGTTTGGGATCCACTACTGGATGGTTAACAGCAGCTTTTGTAACTGTATGCCGACCATACCCAATTATGCTCTGCTAAAAATGAACTCTTTGCAGACCAACCCTCTCGGGCTGTCAGTGTTTTCCGTTTTCCTATTTTAACGTTTGTGTATAGTGGCAGGCGACAGATGGTGTAGATCAGATCGATTTGATTGCATTAGATGATTTTTTTTTTTCCTTTCCCCACTCCTTTCTGGAAGCTCGCATCAGCTGAAGGCTATCGCCTGGGACTCCTTGGAAGCGTGAGCAAGCCGCCACCACGCGAAGGCACTGGGGCACAGCCAGCGCGAGGCACCGAGGTCCCTTCCCAGGGCTTGTTAACACTGTAACCCGGCACTCCGAAGGAAGCAGCTCCCACTGCCCAGAGCCTACCTCACCGCTCATCAGATGACTCTGGTTTCCACACACGGTTGGAGTCCCGCTTGAAACCTGGATTTAGAGGGTAAGCACTTCAATCGAGATGGATTTGTGACAGTTACTTTGCTATACCGCAAGACAAATCTCAGCAAACGTACAGGATGTAGGATGTGTGGAAGAGGGAGACTATGTTTACATCGATAAATGTGTTTCTTTTTGTCTGAGGAGAGTATTATTCAGTAAAGATGTGTATAGTGTTTTTCCATTGATTGCAAGAGTCGACTACCATCCTCCTCCCGATTTTTTCCCTCTCCTTGGTGTTTCCCCCTTTCTACTTGAGAGGGAAGGAGAGAGGAAGAGGGAGGGAGTCAAGGGGGAGGGGGAGAGAGAGAGAAGCATTTCTGCTTTAGCTTAATTGGCTTATTTCCTCAAACCGATTGCTTTGTCGTGTTTCTTTATGTATATTTGGTTGCAAATTACCAAGCGTTTAACTGGGATGGGTGTTGGAGTGTGGGGGACAGGGTGGGAAAGTAGTGGGGACTGGCAGTCAGTCGCGGTGGCCTTGGGAGATCAAAAGGTGCTGAAAACCCCTGCCCGCAAAACACACCTCTAGTTATTGGGGAGCTAGAGAAATGTAGATTCTAATAAACATGGCTTGCAGGAGTCCATGAACAAAGGTACTTAATGCGGACCTAAGCCTCCGTTGCTATTGCTCCGCTAGCGGTATCTAAATATTCAAAAGCAAAGTGTAAGTTGATCAACAAACGCCCTGATGGTATTGGGCTTTTTTCCCTTTTCTGTTTTTGTGTGGAGGGTGGAGAAGGGAGGAGGGTGGATGGGTGGGGGAAATCCGACAGCTTAAGGAGGTTTGAATTGAATATGCACCCAGCGGCAGTGGTCTCGTAGGAAATGGTGTTCTCGTAAGTCAGGCTGCCCCGCTGAAGCACGAGAGAGCTTTGGTTAGAGCTCAGAGCGTCAGTTCTGCTGCGAGTGCTGCCGGCAGTCGGCCCGGGCTGAGCTGTCCACTCGTCCAGGTGCTGAAGCTGGTGGAACATTTGGGTAGGTAGAGAAAGGACTGGCACTGGTTACTTGGATAAAAAGCGTATCAACTACGTTGTTCTAGTTTCTTAAAGCGTGTGAGTCTGTGAGTCGGTGTGTGCATGTATTTTATTTCAATTGTAAGGAAGCAAAACTAAAGGAGATTACTCAGGAAGCATTGAAAATCTGTGTGGGTATTTATACTGTGATTCTGATATGCCATGTATTGCTGTGGATGTATGTATTATGTATATGTGTTTGTGTGCATGTGTGTGGTGTATATACATCTTAATAATCCTCTTTAATTCAAAAAATGTTCCATTTACTAAATCAAAATGTATCTATATAATGTGTTTCTTGTTTTCCTTTTAATGTTAGTTGGGATTTAAATGGAAGAGTTCAGGAGCAAATGTACACTTTGCTCATAGACTATTGCATTACTTTCCCTAAGGGCTTTTGTTTCTAGGAGTTCAAGCTGAAGAGAACCTGTCAGCTTTCTGTGTGTGTGTGTGTGTGTGTGTGTGTGTGTGTGTGTGTGTGTTTGTGTGTGTGTGTGTGAGTGCATGTGTTTGGTTGTAGCACCCCCAGAGAAAAGCTCCACTTTATAGCTATGTTAGGTAATGGCAGAAAATAGTGAATATTTATTTGTTTAATTGGCATCTGTATTTTTGTGAAAGGTGTACTTAAGAGTCATCTGAAAATACTGTAAAATTAGCTATTAACTGGGCAATGCTCCTTTTCTTTCGAGTTGTTTTAGGCACCAGATATTATATATTAAACAACTGTTCATAAAACCTAGAATTCATGTTGGTTTTTCTACTTTAACATGTCAGGAAAATGATGAGTTGGTGTCTCTGGAGAAGTAATATATTTAAAGAAAAAATTGTAAGATCAAGCACAAACTAAGTGCCTTAAATTGCAACCAGGTCAGTTTGAGATGAGTTGTGGTAGTGGGAGAGATTCTGTTATATAATTACTCCTTGATGAAGAGCTATTTGCACTTACATAATTTAAGGAATCATAATGTCTATTGCCATGTTTCCATATCCCCTCCCTATTCCACCACATGGATGTACTTCCATGTATTTGAGAGTAAAGGGAAAAACAAATAGAGAACTTTCTAATGGAGCTACAACATGTCTTGGGTAGTGACGTTGCACTTGTCCATTTTATTTAGTGAACAATAAACCCTTATTATCAGAATATTCATTGCAGGGTCTTAAGACAAAGCTTTTCCAGTAAGAGCCATATTGATCTTCAAAGAATCTCTCTCTGAAAGCCAAAATTACAGTCACTTTACAAATGAGTTTTTGTTTTGTTTTGTTTTGTTTTCCTTAAAATAATTTTTTATGAAGACAGCCTCAAAGGCTTTTCTGTAGAGGTGTTCACAACAACTGCACAGCAATGCATTTATACTGTATATTAAAAAGGTGGGATATGGAATTACACATGGGTACTACAAAACGATGCCTAAATCACATAAACTCTACCAGCTTGTCAACTCCGTGCATTCTGATACTATGGAAAATGAGTTTAATTATTTTGTGCTTTGAAGCTTTTTTTCCCTTCAAAATCATTATGTTGTATAGCTGTAAGGCCTTCAAAGGAGAGATGCCTATTTTTGTAGATCTATAAGTATTTGATTTCAAGTAGTAAATTGAATGGGTGTTTATTTTCTGTGATCTTGGGCTTGAGAAAATGCATTTCCAAAACACACTGCTGAAAATTTCACCCATGCATGACCCTATCTTTATTTGAGCCTCACTTCTTAAAGCCGTCTAGGCAAATACATTTGTAATATTTGTGTGCTTAACTATGCATGTCTCTTACAGGGCTCTCTCGCTGCCATGACACTCAATCAAAGCACCTAGAGTGGGCTGGCCGAGACCAGAGCGGGTACCGAGCAGAACAAGTCCAGAGGAAGGCACTGGGAGAGCACCAGGTAAACTAAAGGTTACTTGTCACGCCCACTCCGTGCCCAAAGAGCCTTCCCACATCCTCCTTCCTCACTGGGAAGAGAGCACTCTTCTCCTGTATTAAGTGCTTGGTTTTGTGATTTGTCTTTCAGAATTGGAAATAGAGCAGCCATTTGGATTTGGGCAGGAAGCAGCAGAGCACAGCTTTGGATCCTTCTTTAGGGAAATCGAGTTATGGATTTATGGTCCCGGTCAAGCTCAGCCCAGCCCCAGCCAGGGGCGGGCTCAGCAGCAAGAGTTCTGGTGGCGGCGGCGGCAGTAGCAGCGGCAGCGGTAGCAGCGGCAGCAGCAGCTTGGTCCTCTGACTCTCTTCGGTGACGGGTATTCTTGGGTGGATAATACGGATTACGTTGTTATTGCTTAAGAATACGCGTAGTCGAGGAGAGTACCAGCGGCAGGCGGGCAGCGGCCGCCCCTTCAGCCCACCAGCTGGCCTCTAAACGCCTGTGGTTGCCAAGGTAGCACTTTTTTGATCTTTTCCTTTCCTCGTTGTTTTCGCTCTGGGTCGCGTGTTAGTTGATTAGTAGACACATCCCACCAGAAAGGCTCTGCGCGCCCTGCCTCTGGTGACTGGGGCTGTAGAATGGGTCCGCACAGGGGCGCGGGGGTCCAGGAGGAGGGGAGGGGCGGGGAAAGGATGGGTGTCTGCTCAGCGGAGCCTGCGCGGAGTTTGGGCGTCCCCGGCCTGCTCTTTTCCTCTCCTCGCTGGGGTGTGGCTTGGGGGAGAGACGGGGACTGAGCGAGCCTCTAAAGTTGGGAATGACTGAAAGGCCTTGAGCAGTTTGGCAGCTTCGCGAGCGAGAAGCAGGAGCTCCGCAGAGGGTCGCTAGGGGCTGCCTCCGCAGAAAGGGCGTGTCCGTGGGCGAAGGTGCCCCCGCAAGCTGCGGAAGCTCGTGACTTCTCGAATCCCGGCCCCGGGCGGTGCCGGAGCCCCACCCCCGCGGCGGTGCCACTGCGCAGCTAGAAGTGGAGACCCGGGCTGGGCACTGGGGGTGGGGGAGTGGGGGGGATTGGGGGGGAGGGGGGGGGGGAGAATGACAGAGGCCTGGGTCCGCGCAGAACTTCCAGATTGGAAGCGTGTGGCGGGTCTCCTGAGGGACCCATACTTTCTTTGCGGATTCTCCGCGAAGGGGTGGAGAAACAGAATGAGAAGCGGATTGGTTGCGGTGTGGCACAGAGCTGGAACCTTCCTGAAAGTGGTTGGGGCAGGCAGTGACTGTTCAGCCGTCCAGTTTCTTTGGGACACCTCTTCAGCGCTGTCTTCCCTGCCTCTGCTTTTAGGACGAGTCTCAAACACCAACAAACCCAAGGCATGTTCCCCCTCTCAGGTCTGCTGCGAAGGGACGAGAGGAAGAGCGAGCCTTTCCCTTTTACCACTTGCAGTTTTGTTTGTTTGTTTCGAATACTAATGGACGATAAAACCATACGGATGTGCCCCCTCCTAGTGAAGAGCAAGCAACTACCCACCGATCCCCCCCCAAGCACGCCCAGACACTCCCGGGGACAACCGGATATGGCAGGAGTTGAGATGCCCAAGATGGAGCTGGGAGAGTTGATCCACCATACAGGAGGAGGAGGGTCGAGGAGGCTGGAGCTCTCAGCTCTTGCCGGCAGCGGACCACGCAGCTCTGCACCTCTCCTTTCCTCCTTGCGAGGCGCCAGGGCCCTCCCGGTCGTGGCACTTCAAAGGTAGGAGGAGAAAATGCTGGGGACAAGAATGCACAGGCGGCCAGAAGGTTCCACTAGGGTCAGCAAGAGCCTGCTGGGACTCTAAATCCAGGTTTCCTCCCTGCGTGGTGCCGTCGGTGGTGCAAGGGATGCGAAGACTGAATTTCTGAGAAGTCGAAGCTGCAGGAGAAAACAAACAAAAACAACAAAATGGGAAGCCTGCGACGCTCTCTCGCGCGGCGTTCCCAGACCAGCTCTAAGCTAAGCTACGCCCCAGACACCTTTTCCCTTTGGAGGACGCCTTTCCTGGGCGCGACGTGCACGTACCCTCACTGAGTTCTTGCCCACAAGGGCAGCTCTGAGCCCTGGAGAGCGAGGTGCTTCGAAGAAGGCAGGCACACTCGCATGCTTTCCCATGTAGAGCTTTGCGTTTCTTTTAGTACTTTGGATTCCTAGTGAGGGGTACAAGGCGCCACTCCTCTCGTGACCCTATTTCCACTACACCGCGTCTGATCCCACAGTTACTCGCGGGGTATCTACACTCACAGCTTTTGCGCTCAGGGAAAGTTGTTTGCGAGGAAAATGAGTGGGGACCTTCTGAGAAGCTCCCAGGGCAAGTCCCTTTAAGGAAGGAATTGAAGTAGAAAAGAAAGCACAAATATGGTATCTCTGCACTCGACATTCTCTCACTAGCAAGAGAATGTGTGACTACTGTTCTTCCCTTCATTGTTCCATGAATTATCCTCTTTCCATAGGGATACACCAGTTGGTGATTAAGGGCTTGTTATGTATTTAACAAAATTCAATATGTCTGCTGGTGGCATTGTTTTATTGGGAAATTGGGAAAGTAGAGAGCCACATAATCTAGTAACTAGGTGATCTTTGGAAAGTTAGCCTCATGCTGCTGGTTGACTAGTAAGTGTATAAGATTTGAAGGAAAGGAAGCTGGGGGCCTAGTGATAGAGTTTTCCGGAAATGAAAGGTAATACTCTGGCATTCGTTGAGAGACTGAGGAAGAACTTTTAAAAACAAGCTATTTCATTAAGTTCTTTGCCAGTGGGACTTTAGCTTATGATTGCATTTGCTTCATAAATGAATAATAATTTTTTAAGTGGAATAATTGTAAATGTTAGTGATGAAATCTAAAGGAAACCTCTACTCATCTCATGGTCAACAACAAGTATTTGATTTTCTTGGTTCAAGTGGTTTCAATACTTATCTCATTGCTCTCTTTCCTTTGCAGAATTATCTTCTTATAAAAGTTTCCATTAGGTGTCAGTCTGACTGAGCTGGTTCCTATTTAAATTTGAAAAGAAAAGAAAACATTTTTTAAAAACTAAATTGGGCCTTTATAGATAAGGGGGGGGAAGGCCCAAAACTTTATTCAGTTGAAATTGCTGTAGTTAATTGTTTTATTACAGTCAACTTGTTTTCCTCAGAAAAGAGAATTTGAAAGTATATCACTACTAGCTGGTTGTCACTTTTGCCCTGTCAGTATTCATAGACAAGATTAAAGAAGTGCAAAGTGATTGTGTGTGTTTTTCAAGCTAGATCCAAGTGATTTTAAGAAATTATAATACCTGGATTTTCAGTTGATGTCCAAATACTAGAAGGATATACAACGTTTTTCTAAAATTTGGTTTGCTTTACAAAAGTGATAGAATTTCTACTTGAGAAAAGCATATGGATACAGCTTAGACTATTCTTTGATAGTAATACATAGGGCACAATGGAGGGGGAGGGAGAAAACTTATGAAAATTTCCTTTTTTTACTACTATTTTTACTTTAGTTATCTCCACCTATGTACTCAAAATTTTATGAACACAGTTTCTGGCTTAGAGGTGGAAGATTTTAGGTTTCCCATTGAGATTTGTATACTGTCTGTGAACACTCACATTTATACTGTGATATTCATTAGTAGGTGTAAAATACATGATCTTGGTTAATGGTTTACTACTGAGTCTCAGGTAAGGAGTTTGATGGAAACTGTTTTACAAACAATTTACTGATTTTATTCCTTGTGTCTGTGAATTGTGTTCTGATACTGTTGCTTGAATAGACCTGCAGGGAGTGGTGGTATTCATGATTAAAGATCCCTTGAGGATCATGCCAACCTCTATGTGAATACTACACTGTTTAATCATGAATACACACACACATACACACACACATATGTATGTATGTGTATTAGGCAGATGATTCTGGACAAGTACATTTTTAAATAAATAATCATGTCCTGGAACCAGGATTTCTCCCCAAGTCCACTGTTTGCTTTAGAATGATATGGTTCTTGGTGTCACAGCAGTGCCAATCTAGAACCAGAAAAGAACTGTCAATGAATGTCCAGGTAAAGGAGAGCAATGAGGAAGTAGCATTTTGATGGAAAGAAAATTCCATAAACCATACAAACATTTTTGTTTTTATTATATTGCACATCAGTAATGGTAATTTTTCAAAAATAAAAATAGACTTTTTTGTCTAGGTATATATTGAGGAAAATTTTGTGTTTTTATGTAGGATACAGGAGAAGGTCTAAAGATATAGAAGACAGTATAAGACCGTCACAATTATTCACCAACTTTTTAATAATACAGTTTTAGTGGCCATAATACCATAGAAATGACAGAATGATGATTTTACACTGTTAGAGAGTAGTGTAATCTGCACATATGAAGGTACATTTATTTTGGTAATAAACATTTTTAATTAAAAATAAAACATATTAGTGATAGAATACTTCAAAACTTTTTTATTATTGTATTTAGCTATCACATTTAGTTATTGGTTGCTATACACTTATTAACATAAATGCTAAATAGCTTTTAAGCAAAAAGTTTTATAGTATAATTTTTAAAAAAATGTTTTGAGATTTTTCTCTTGACACTTATATTTTAAATGACTTATAATTCTTCAATTTCAATCTATAAAACACTGTGTGAATGTATAAGCTTTTTAATTGAAAAAACATTGCAATCATCCAAAACTTATCGGTTAAAAAACAGATATTGTGAAATTCTAAGTTTCTTGAACTATATTTAGTACCTGGTGATTAGTTGAGTTTGTTAAGTGTAGTTTAACAACAGAACCAATGGATCTCTAATATTTGTATTGTTGCCCAGATTAAAAATATATGAATACCCAAATCTTTTGAGTTCTGAGTTCAATTATATTCTAATTAATAATGAGAGCTATGTAAGACAGTCTTCAAAATCAACAAAAAATATTTTACTAGCTCTATAAGTGCAAAGACAAAGATTTTCATTTGCTGTGTTTGTGGAAATACCTTTTGAGGCTCGGTGACATGCACACTGTCTGCAAATTTACACACCTACTACCTACAGCTAGAACCAAAAGTTAAAAAACAAAAACAAAAAAACCCCTAAGAATAAACTATAAACTTTTTTAAAATTTTTTTTTTCAACGTTTATTTATTGTTGGGACAGAGAGAGACAGAGGATGAACGGGGGAGGGGCAGAGAGAGAGGGAGACACAGAATCGGAAACAGGCTCCAGGCTCTGAGCCA